CGTCTAAAGTTGAGATGGGATTTACACATTAGTCCCAATAACAATGATAAAGTTAACTTGCCCTCCAACAAAAACTGCCAGGAAAGCCCAGAGGTCCTGAAAGATTATTGTTATTGATCTCCTTTTACAAGACAGTATTGTGCGTGCACATATATTATTTGGTGTATATGAGCCCTAAATGGATCTTCCAGGACCTTGGGCATTTCAGACGCTGCTCACTGATGTGAAAAGTACTTGGTCTGAAAGGACAGCAACACCTTTAGATGGATCCTGTCCAGGTCACGGCTGTAGTTTTAGTTCTCCTTAAGTTTTAATAACTTTTTTTTTTTTTTAACGCCAGAGTCTCTCAAGCAGATCTTCTTTCTTCTCATCACTCACTTTAAGTGGTATGTACTATCGAGGTTCTGTCTGATAGCCATCCCCGGTGTGTGGAGCTTCACAGCACCATTTCTGATAGAAATCTTATTGTAGGCTGGTATGAAAAAGGAGAAATACACGATAGAAAAGATGAGAACAAATGACTTTCAGAAATTATTTCAGTCAGATCAAATGACTAATATAAAAAACTATAAGTAGTGTCATACGCTTTCAATAACTCTATCTCGTAAAGATGTGTAAAAAGCCTCAAAAATATATAAATATGTATCTATTCATTTATATATATATATTCTGTTCTTCGCAATAGCATTATTGGCCAATGACTTTTTAAAAATCCAATCATTATTTACATACTTATAGTATATTCAGTTATTGTAAAAACACAAAATAATTGCTAAAAAAAAAAAAAAAACCCTACTGTTACCCTCACAACTCCTACAAAATTAATCTGACTGGAGCCTTTTTTGTAAACCATATTTTACTTTTTAAATTGACTACAGTGTCTAAAAACCTTTAATCATTATTCCATGATATACTTGGATATGATGTGAAATGGAGTCCCATTTCTCTTCCCCCGTTTTCAAAATGGGAACGAGAAGAAAACGCGCAATTCTGGGAAGACGTGATTTGATCACATGAGCAGGAAAGTTATACATTCCCCAGAAAGTCAGAGCAGCTTTTATAATAAAAGACTATATTTAAACACATCATGCAGATATGGGCCTAAATGTCCAGTCAATCAGATTTAAACAGAGCATTTCAATTACAAAGAATTCACATTTAATTATGTTATACCAATACTATGAACCTAGCTTAACTGAGCTAATAAATACTACACAACACAAAACTCATTATTAGTACCATTTGATGTGTCTAATGTCACAACATACCCCTCTGATTAATACAAAGAAACGCATTTCATGTTGAAATGCGTTTCTTTGCAGGCAGGATGCTGTATGCGTTTAAAACTAGACACGAGTGCAGACTTGATGTTATAAATCTTAAAATATTTCAGTTCTTAATTTAAAATGTGTCAAGCTGAACAGGCTCTGACTGCTCTAACAGAAAGCTGTAAAGTTGTAGGAGGAAACTGATTCGATTCAACTGCTGTGTGTTCAAACACACACTATGAAACAGCGACAGGTTTCTTAGCGTTGTACCGGAAAGATTCTATGTTTTCATATCATAAACAATAATGTTCATTGTCTTTCAAATGTTCCAAAACCATAAGTATTATCCAAACCGTATACCAGCCTTGCCAATTATATGTCGAAGTGTCAGACCGGAAAGCAACAAGAGATCTAACAATTTACAATTTTAAACTCAACATCACTTTTATGCCATTAGAAAAAAATAAAGAAAGAAAATAATGTGCGACTGTTAGTCATTATCATGACGTTGCATCACTTCAATATGATGAAATGTAAGTGTAACAAAAGGTAAAAAGGCTGCAGCTCAAACCAACATATCCTCAGGTGTGCGAAAACCTCTTTGCATTTACCCTCTGCTGAAATGGGGGTCATCATCAAACAGCGACTCGGAGCACTCCAGGTGTCGAAGCCGCACGTAATTTAATTTAGGGATCAATGCCGCGCAGAAAATACCGGCTTTTAAAGCCCAAATATAAGCACTATAAGCTCCTGTCGCATGAAGATGGGGGGCGTTTTTGGCAGTAGATTACAATTCTGACACATTAAACACTTAGAGCTCTAGTTTTGTTTAAAAAAAAAAACTTGTATGGAAATAGCCAAAGCTAACCAAATGTTGCATCAGGGGCAAAGACCCAGAGGCAATCAAAGTGTCAAAACAGTGAGGAAGGGTCTGATAACTAGCAGTAATTTGCTACGTCATGAAGATTTTCACTGAGATTTGACAGGTGGAGGTAAGCACAGTTGTTGGCAAACAAAACTGAGGGGGCTGATATACGACGACCCATCTGAGCTGTCAACAGAGCTGAACTGATCTGGCACCGGTATCTTGCTTAGGGACTTATTCTGAGACCAGAGAGCCGTGAGCAGAGAAATCCATGTTGCCTGTTAGTTTTTCTGCTTTAGGATTTAGTTATAGGTTCGATGAAGGCTTTTACGGCGGAGTCACAAACGAGAAGAACGACGAAATGCGAGACGTGTAGTCTGTGGAAAAAAAAAAAAGGGCGGCCTTTAACAGTGAAGGGAAGCTTTTTGTGTAAGTGCTCAACAATTTGATACTTTGGTGCTCAAAGTAATGCAGAGAGAGTTTAGGGAGGGTGAGGGAAGTTCACACGCTGCTTTTTCTTTTTTTCATTATTTCTTTTGCCTTCATTCAATGCAACACAGATTTTTGTGGTTTTAATAGATAAACCTTGGATGGTGGCGTATGGCTTTAGTCTGAGTGCCAAACCTTGGATAGGTGTGTGACGAAGAGTTTTAGTTTGTGTTTACCACTTGTCCCTTAAATATATTTCTGATTTACTTCCTACAGTAGGTCATGATGCTTTCATTTAAACACTGCCGTTGTAACTTTGCTTCACTCACTATCCCGGGTTTGTTTGTGCTGCCATTATGGTGCAGCCTACATCCAAGTATACGTTTTATTTAAAGCCAACACTTCTAAAGCATTTGGTAAATATGAACGTTTCTTTTGCTCAAAGCCACATTTCTGTTAAACAGTTTGTTTTCTTTTTATTCATCACTGTTTGACCTTTTAGATGCTGCGGCCTGAGCAGGTGTATGGACGGGGCCGGCCCAGCATTTCCTGTTAAATGATGTCATCGACTGCATCACTGGATTCTACCAAATCGAGGGGTTTCCTTATTGTATTATATTTTGTGTTATTAACATTTTAAGTGTTAAATGTTTGACTATTTAGTTAGGTAGATGAGTTTGTAAATTACATTATCAATAACTTTCCACCTGTTTATTATGTTTTTTGTCCATTTGACTACACTACCTCACAATGTGTAGCTATGTCTCCTATGGTGATGTCTATGAGCTCTTCCACAGACTTTCTCAATGAATTTAAACATCCATTCCAATGAGGCTCATATTCATTCAAAAATACTTTTTCAAAATAATCTATGAGGAGTTCACTGATAGTCTGGGGAATGTGCAGTCTTGTGCACAAACACTTTCAGTAGCGTTGTCTTGGGGTCAACCTTATATGTTGACCTTTATTGTTTTAATCAGCATCGGAGTTGCATTCCTCAGCCTCGTGCTCACTAAAGCCAACACTAGGCTGACTTTAGTGAACACTAGGTAATAAAAATACCTTCTCAGCTGTTAGCCTCCATTGTTTCAGTCCTTACATCTGTGACTTTACAGACTTACTTTATACATTTGGATAACCCTGCTTTTGAAATAAATTCCCTTTTCTTTTTATCTTATTCCTCTATCTAGTTTTTAGCCACTGTAACCCTATGCCACTCTTTCCCTTCTTATTGCAGTGAACAACTGTGTAGGAGCCTGTAGTCTGTCTTTTTCTTTAAAATGTTGACTGACCTGACATCAGCCTCTCTCTGCCTCTAAGCCGTGACTCCCGTAGCACTAGAAGATCATGTATTTCATTGAAAAATCCTGACCATGCCAATAATCCTCCAAACTCCATGCTCTAAACCTTAAATCCTTCAGAGAGGATCCTCTTCAAACCCTCACGTCTTGTCCTTCCTCTCTCTCTCCCCCCACCCGCGCCCCCCAGTTTGACTTTCTTGTGCTGACGTTTACAGTACGACGTCCCTTTGCGAGAGGACTGGTGAGGCTCGTTCCATCTGCCCTTCCCGGCTCCATCTGTTGAACTCTGCACATCTCTGTAGGGTTTGTTACCTTTTGTGTGTGTGTGTATGTGTGTATGTGTGTGTGTCCTCCTGATAGGGAAACATCTCGAACTCCGGCAATCATTATCTCTCCAAGTCAGCAAGCTATTCTTTGGAGGAAATCCTCAAACTCATGGGTAAATAAATAAATCCCAGGTTTTGACCTTCCTTATCAAGCTCTGCCTCCACCTTTAAAGCAGAAAGAGGTCACCGTGCCACCGGAGCACAATATTACCAGAGCACTTCTCTGGATTTTCTTTTTTTTTTTTTTACCTCTCTTTATTCATGATCTCTTTCATACGTTTGCTGTCACATCGCTTGCTTTTGGATTTATCCAACAACCCCGCCACCTACAATAAGTCCCCCCCTCTGTCTTGTGGGTTGCAGCGCTTATACACCTTGGAAGCAAAATGAGAGCATTAGTCATATTGCCAAAAGCAACATCTGTTTAAAGTGACAAAGTGATTCTTGCCCACTGGGAGGAAAGATGGAAGCAATCATAAAGTCGGAGAGTAGCTTGGGGAGGTTGAGCAGGGCAACTTTAACGGCGCTGGCTGGATTCAATTGCTGAATTTTAGTTCAGCTGTGTGTTGACAGCTAATGTTGCTTTTTTTTTTTTTTTTACGCTGGGGTTTGGCTTTATAAACCCAGAAAAATATGTCAGGATCAGCACACTTGATTTTCAGAGGTTAGGCCTCTCACATGCCTTTCATTTTTAGAATGTCACTCTCTTTTAATGCCTTTCTGGTAACCTGAAACATGCGCTTGGGCTTTTCCACAACCAGAGAACCACCGGAGTTGTGTCATTATTTTCATCCAGAGGTCTGTTTCTGACATCTGATATGCCATTTGATGGGACCTTTGATATGTTCTGATATTCTGAAGAAGGCAGAGAGCCAATTTGTCTTTCTCTGCAGACCCTTACTTCATGTTAATGTGGACAACTGTGTCCATTGTTGCTTATTTTGGAAGGGTGCATTGGTAATTTTAGACTGTAAACAACTTCAGGATTCATAAGATGCACATAGCCTTACAAAATTAACCATATCCTTTGAACATTTCCAATGTTTTCATGTTACAACCAAAAATGTATTTTAGTTCAGTGTATTTTATTTGATTTCTATATGATAGACCAACGTAAAGTAATGCATAACTGTGAAGTGGAAGGAAAAGATTGTTTTTTTTTTTCCCCCCCTGCAAATCAAAATCTGAAAAAAACAGGAGAAATCTTTGGATCTGGTGTAGATCTATATTCAGGGCAGGTTTATGGATACCTTTGCAGAGGGAGACACCAACATAAAAAAAATACGGTAAGTTTTATTTTTGATGGAGCCTGAGACAACAAAAGAAAAAAAAATGAGTAGTGCTAGCAACAGGCTTTTTAGTTAGCAACATGCTAAGTAAAAAGCCAACTGAGCCAACCTTACAGCACTAATCATAAATATTAGTTCTGCTAATGCTAAAGCCCCACACCAACATCCCTTAGGAGAAGCTAATACTTGAGTGCTAACGCGCTAAATTAAGCCATGATGTCAACATGTGTTACAACATAGTACATGGCAATTGACTTTGCCTGTTGTTAATTTTTAACAGTCAAAAACAGAAACTTCAAATTTGATTTAACTACAGGTTTACCAAACAGCTAAGCAAATTAGCTAAGTATGCTAAATGTTTTCAGAATGAGCAAAAACGCTAAATGAAAAATTAGCGCATTAGCAGAGGTATGTCACTGCTGAATGATATGAAAGGCATCTAATATGTATAACTACTGATAGCTTCAGTAGTACAGTCAGCCATCCAAACAAACACAAGAACCGATCAGAACTGACCACGGAAACTGAAGCAGCAGCAGCTGCACTTTTGGTTTTACTATAACCATGTTTAACAGAGAGCTTTCTGTGGTAGTGACTACTCTATGCAGATCTGAGGTTTTTCCAAATGTATTTAAATTCCATTCTCTGCAATCATTTACAGCTGCTGACAGATATACTGGAGCAAAAAGAACTGCACACTCTTTTTTTATTTTTACCCTCCAGGGCTGACATTAAAACTCCTAAACATTTTGGCTTCCCTCTGAGATTAATATTTTGGGTTATGTAGAAAATTCATTTTCATTTTATACACCTTGCTAATGTTGCTTCTTCCTCAAAAAAAAAAAAAAAAACATGTCATCAGAAGTGTGTCTGGTGCCTTTACGGGTCATAAAATGATCCGAATTTTCAGCTTTGGACTGACGAGTTACCAGACACCAAGCAACTTTTTGGTCAATCTGTGGCTAAATCAGTGCTAAATCTCAAACATAGCTCACCAAAAAGATGATTCCATAAAAGGTTTTGACTTTACCCGACATTCTTATTTCATATTTCCATGTTTCTTGAACTTTATAAACTACAAATTGCAGTGACAACAATGAAATAAACAACAAATGTCCAAAGGAGTGGGTAAACCTAAGCAGTGTTTCAAAAGAGCTGATGTTTTCTAAACAATAATATTATGTGTTATTAATTTGGTGTTAAGAGATGAGCCTGTTTTCTGGTAACAAACTGCCACGAAGTAAAAATCAGATTTTTACTTTTGTAAAATTTACCACCTACATACGTCTTATGTCTAATCAGTATTTCAAAAGAGCTTATGTTTTCTAAACAATAACATTTACGCATCATTAATTTGGTGTTAGGAAATGAGCGAGTTTTCTGGTGACGAACTGCCTTGAAGTAAATAGCTAATTTCTTACTTTTGTGTTGAATGTCTGTTTTATAATAATCACCAATTTCTCATTTCACCACCAATAACAAAGAAAACATTTTCACTTTTCTGCTAAATTCACCAGCTGCACAATTCTTGTTAAGTAGTAAGTACAATAAGATAAGCAACATATCAAAAAAGAACAAGAAATCTTATGTATTTTGAACAATAATATTTGTTGTTGATCTGTTGCTAAGAGATGAGCACGTTTTCTAGTATCCAAGTGCCACAAAGTAAACATCGGATTTTTACTTTTGGGTTGAATGTCTCCTTTAAAAATATATTTACCACCAATGACAAAGAAAACATTTTCACTTTTCTGCAAAATTCACCAGCTGCACAATTCTTGTTAAGAAGTAAGTATAAGATACGTAGTATTTCAAAAGAGCAGAAGAAATCTTATGTTTTATGAACAATAACAATATTTGTTGTTATTTGGTTGCTAAGAGACGACCGCGTCTCCAGCAACATCGCAACGATTTCGTCCTATTTGTAACAATATACCTCCATTTTGCTCTCAGATTCTTTATTAACCCAGTACATCCAATAATCTGCTTGCAATAGCCATAAAAGTGGCTTTAATGGTATTAACAACAACAGTAATGATAATATTGATGCTAATTATGCTATGAAAACAACCACAACATAACATGTCAGGATCATTTCTTGTATTTAGTGAAGGCCATTCATGCAGACGGTTGAATTATCTAATGTTCGGACGTTTCTGCAATTCCACAGTCAATCTGTTTCATAGTTTCACACCACAGAAACAAAAAAATATAATAATCTTCTTGTGGTTCTGATCTCTCAAGCTTTGAATTTACATTTCTAACTGGATAAACGGATCAGCTGATAGATGGGAGGTTTCGGACTTCGATAAGGCAACAGTTGTCAAACACAAAGACTGGAGCTTGTTAGGAATGACAAGGTGACTGAAGTCTGTGAAGGACCCTCAACGAGTTAAGAGGACAATTACAACGAAGTGCGACTCCTTGGAAACAAAGTATGAAAAAGTGAACTTTCACGCAGTGCAGTAAACACCAGCTACAGCTTCAGGGGACAGCCGCAGTCTAAAACATCCAGATTGTTCCCACTTTTTGTTATTTTTTTTTAGGGGGGGGTGGCAGAGAAGGGAGCTCAAAGTGCATTATTGAGACGCTGATATGTCGAGGCCATTAGGAGCAATTAAAATGTCCGGCACTTATCCTGCTGTTCTCTCGCTGTTTGGACAGTGGATGAGCTCAGTGGTGGAGCAGGAAGGCAGCATTAGCGCCACGCAGAGCAGCAGCACTCTGATTTACAGTTCCCAGAGCTGGTGATTGAGGAGGGCATTACGTCACAGCTGATAGATCAGAGAGTCTTACAGCAGAGCGGAGCTCCATCAACTGCTGCCGACAGTAGCCTTAGTGCTGACAACCACTGAAAATTGATTTATAAAAAAAAAAAAAAAAAAAAATAAACTCCATGCCTCTATGCGCTCTGACACAGAACGGGGAAAGCGCTTACAGCCAGAGAAAACACATACGTACACACACGGACTGAATACTGCAGGAAGCCATAATTCTTGGGGGTAGGAAACAAACGCATTCAATAAAACCCACGAGGACTTTATTGTAGTAACAGCCAGATCTGGGAAAGCGCAGATACTCCAATAAAAAAAGCTTACTGGGAAAATAAAAACACAGAGCCGAGCGGCGAACGTGCGAGAACGGCTTACGCTGTCAATCTGCATGTTTTCCTGTTAGTTATTGTACCAGTTATTTCTTCCTGGGTGGCAGTTACTGCCATCTCAGCCCCGCTTCCCAACGACCTGCAAGGTTATGGGACCTGGAGACTCAGTGGGTCTGTTGTAGTTCAATTTGTCTCCCACACACCGGTTCAATATCCAACACGGAGTATTCGGTCAGCAGTTTTCTCTTATCATATTCAAAATGCTGCTTGTCTTGTCACATGTTGATGCGCTTTGCATTTTTCCCACTTAAAGATTTGTTCCTTTTTTGTTGTTTTTCTTTTTAATTTTCACTTCTGAGATTCGGATCATCAAACCAGTTCCAGTTTCAGACAAAGATAAACTCAGTTCACACAGAGTGTAGTTTTCAAATCAAGATTCCTTCGACAGTAGGGAGAAAATCTGCCCAAAACACCAGATGTAGAAAAAGTAGTTACACCCTAAACCTAGGCCTGTCGTGATAAAGTTTGCTGGACAATAAACTTTATTGCGATAAACAACAATGTTGTTGTTTTGAGGCCGTATTTATATAATGTAATGGCACGGTAATGAAAAGAACACATTCTCAAATAAACTTTCATTTCTAATGAATATTTAGCACTGGGACTGGAAGGCATTTTAAATATTCAAAAAAAAAATAAATAAACAAAAACAACAGAGACAACAAATAAAATAAATCATGAAGTCTCTGTAAGCAAAAATGATCATAAATTCAAAATTGTTATGAGACCAAAGCACCAAACCAAAAACTTTTTTCATCCAGTTTTAGGTAGAAGAGAGAGAAAAGAAAAGAAAAAGAAAAAATACATAAATCGTACAGCTGAAAATGATTGAACTTATTTTTAATTTATGGTGCGATTTATTGATTTATTGATTAATGCGACAGGCCTACGTAAACCTGATGCTTACATGTGCCAGGCTTGGCAACAACAACAACAACAACAACAACAACTGTCATAAAGCTTTGTAAATAATGGCAACAAGTCATTTGTATCCACTGTGGAAGAATTATGACCCACTTTTCTTTGCAGAATTATTTTAGTTCCTCCACACTGGAGGGTTTTTGAGCATCAACAGCCAGTTTATAGTCATGCCACAGCATCACAGCTGTCTGGACTTTGACTAGGTCACTCCAAAGCCTTTGTGTTTTTTGAGCTATTAAAAAGTGGACTTGGTGGTGGATTTTGGGTCATTGTCCGACTGCATAGACTCAGTATGCTTGAGCTTCAGGATGTATTAAAAAAAAAAGATAATTCGTAGGATTTTCTGGCGGAGAACAGCCTTTTGCAGTCATTTAGGTCCTGAAACATAAAAAAACCCATTTTACTATAAATGAATGAATGAATGAATCACTTAATAACAGAAGATTTAATTCCATCAACAAAAACTGTGAAACATTGTTTTTGTACTATCAACTACACAGAAACTAAATAAAATACAGGTCAAGCAATAATGAGTTCTTGGTTAGGCCAGTAAAATTGAACCAAATAATAATAATCACAGTAATTCATAATTTAACATTCACCCAATTATATTTCCACATAGATTCAGATTGATTTGGATTTTTCCTTTCACCCCGCCCTTAACAAATTCAATTCTCATTTGAAAACTGCTCGTTGTGTTTACTCAAGTTATCGTCGCCTCATATTAATTATCCGTTCGATTATCTGAAACATTCTGGTGGGGCGAAAGCGCAAAACGAGGCGCAGTTTGTAAGGAGCCGAATACGTTTTCACTGCTCTGTAGGTTGTTCCTTCTGAGAAATGCGAGCATTCGTAACTCAGGTGGGAGAACGTCGAGCCGAGAGGCAGCATAACAGATCTGATTCATTAACATTCAGAGGTAGACATGCTATATTCAGGGTTGTGTGTTTTAACTGCGACTTCCCAAGAGACTGGAACTGAGAATTAGCTATAAGACAAAACAAAAAAAAAAAAACTGTTCCAGCAGATGAAATGGAGACTTCTGGTAAATAATTGTGTCAAAATAATAATAATAATAATAAAATAATATTTTTTTGTTTGTTTAGAAACGCTGTATAACACTGAACTACAGTGAGTCTTTATTTAAGAAGCAAAAACAGAAGATAGTGATGAATATTTCATCCTTGAAATGAAGCCTTTCTTTCCCTAAAAATATAAAAATAAAAACATATGGAAAGCTTCAAAAAAATACTTGCATCACCCTGGAAAATGTTTGCAAAAATGTGTTTAGGGACATTGATTCATTTAAAAATGTACCTAAACATCTGAAAGTTAGATTTTTTTCCTTTCCTTTTTTTTTTTACAGAAGTCACAGGCAGAATTCGGCTCCAGTTATTAAGAAGAAATTTTAATTTTAGACTTTAATCAACTTAAACAATTAAAAGGCATTTCCGCTCGGTTGCTGATCACTGCTAACACATTTAGCTGTGAAGCTGAAACGAAACGTTTCTAACCGATATCACATTCTGGCGCATTAATCCATGACCCAACATGAGTTTTCTTTTAATTCGTAATGCGCTGTGTGTGTTTATCCTGAAAAATTAAAAGGGCCGGCCAAATAAAAAAAAACCCCAGCAACAACAGGACCAGCGGATGTGCTGCGGGCCCTGCATACCAACCGCTTATCAACACAAATGCTAATGTGACCTTTAATATTAGAAACAAAATTATGAATGAGATTCAAATTCAATAGCTGGCAGACATGAAGCATATCCTCTATATCCATGAAAGCGGACCTACAGCTCCCGAAGTGTGAGCGGAGTAGGTTAATTGAAGTTAGCCTTTCGTTGAGATGCGAATAGGAAGCTGGATTAACAAAAGGAGACGCATGGAGATGAGTTATGATACGAGTTCCAGCTCAGATATTTTTACTTCATTAGCAGGAATGTGTAGGAAATATTGCTGAGTGGGCCGGAGGCTGTAAGGTTATTTCTCCTCGCTGGTAACAGAGGGACGTCGTAACAGTGTCAATTTTTTTTATTTTGTTTGTTACAGCGGGTTCAGTAGGCAGGATTAGGTTCAATCCGTAAAGAATAATATGAATATGTGCAGTTGGAAATTACTACTGAATGTTATTTTTGGAAAATAAATAAATAAATAAATAAATAAATAAATAAATAAATAAATAAATAAATAAATGTTTGTTTTGAGTTCAAAAACATCACTATGGCAATATGGAAACCTTCTTTTTCATTTTCCAAACATTTTTTCTGAATTCTTATTTTTCTGAATTCCATTTTTTCAATTTTAACCATATTTATCAGCCCCCAAAAACTATGTAATTATGGTGTAAATGAAAAAAAAAATGAATTAGTAAATAGATGGAGGTCAACATTTGCTGTATAACAGTATAAAAGAGACTGCTGTGGTTCAACAAAACTGGTTTTACAAGGTGATACAAAGTGTTTCCCCTTCAGTAATATTACGTGCAAATCAACACATTGACATAAATACTTGAAAAAAAAAAATTAAACTACATTTTGAGGGTGTTTAAATATTGGATAAAAAAAAAAAAAAGAATATGTCCGATCTTTAATGTATTTTCTACTTCTTTGTTTGGCTCATAACTAAACAGCACGTTTATATTTTCCCTTCCACAGGAGAGAGTTATAGTTATGATAATAATATCAACAGGTAGAGGATCTCGGTGGCCGGGTTTAGCAGCGCAACAAATTTCACGAGCTCGTCAAAATGTTCTGCTCGCAAATTTAATCTGCGGTGTCACCGGTCATCAGCAGGACGACACTCGGATTAAAGCCGGGCCAGAGGCTCATAAGTTAGCATGTTAACTGTTAAACGCATTTTCTTTTTCCCTGCCATTATTCAGCTTCGTGCCTTTGTGATTACAGATTAAAAGTCTGACAATCTTCAGTGGACTGTGAATGGATGGTGGGTGCATCTGAGGGTCAGAAAAAAAAAGAAGAAACGGTATTTAATCTACATGTTGCGTGCACGTTTGTTCATTAATCCTCTTGCTCATTTATTTAGCAAAAGTTGGACAATAATTTAGAAAAGCCTGAACACCCACTACTAAATCACTGCAAAGTCGGTTATGAGTTGTCCTTTGTTTATGTGATGTAATTGGGTTTGTGTGGAGCATCAATGGGAGCTGAAGGCCATAAATTACTTTAAGATAATTAGTTAAAAGCAGTGGCAGGAGTGACTAAGATTAGTGAAATGGACTCAGAGGAAAGGTCAAGCAATGTTTATTTACACGGGGTGGAAAGGGGCTCTGTAGCACAGATCAGCAAAAAACAAAAAGGAAAAAAAAAAGAAAAAACTTGGAGTGATTCATCATTCTTTGTTGGATTTATTTCTAGCGTATTGAAACTGACCGCAGACCAACGAGAAACACACCAGTAGAAACACAGGCTGGTGAGAGAGCAGCTGCCACGTCTTCATGGATGAACAAAGAGAAATTAACCAATTAGCACTGAATACTGAATACAGTTAACACTTCTAATTTCAAAAATATGCTGCTAACCAGACGTCAGACTCTATTATAATCCTGACTAAAATCACCACCACTCAAATCACCGCAAACCCCCCACCCCAAAACTTCACCAAGGATTTTGGTCTAATTTCTGGTGCAAATATCATAGCACACTTGAAATTAGACAAACTTATCAGTAACTTTTTGGCAAGAAACAGGAGCTTGTTTTAAGTCAACAATTCCTTAATATTTATGAAAACGTATTAGTTCCACTGGCAGATTATTTCACTTTTCATGCCTGTGTAGTTTTGGTTGTTTTATGGCCGACTCATTCAGGTGCAAAATGAAGCTGCAAAATAAAGCCATTGTTTTCATATTCTGCTCAAAACCTACTGTTGGGAAATGAGCTTACGGAGCATCTTTAGTAACATGGACCAGCACTGGGTCGCTCATATATTCTACATTGGTCCGAGTCCCATTTTTGTGGGACTCAAACCCACAAAAATGGAAAATAAAACTAAATTATTCCACAAGTATTCCTTGAAAATAAATTATTCTGTAGAAGTCAACATTTTTATGATTATTTATCCCTAAAAATAAGCAGCTTGATTTCTGTTGCACAGGCAGCTTCGCTGCAGTCAGCTGCTTAAAAGATATTCTGCTCATAGCTTTTCCAACCTTTTTTTTTTCTTTCTTCCAAAAGTAATGCATGCATTATTCAAACTGATATGCATGCATTACCTTAAAAAGAGATTCTTAGTTTCCCACACAGTAACGCTCTGTGATATTAGTCATCAGAAATGTTTCTAAACAGACAAATTTGTCTTTTTTTGTTTCCAAGCAAGGTAAATAAATGTCTATTAGCTTTCTTTTAGCCAGCGAACCGTCATGACGCAGCAACAGGTGGTGGAGGGGCAGCAAACACTAACATTTTGAGTTGTGAAACTTTTCGGTTGATGTTGCCGTCGGCTGTTCTGAAGGGCAAAAGAAACAAAACAAGTCTGACCTTCAGATTTATTTAGTTTTTCATCGACTGTTGTACTTCACTCCTGTTGTGTGGAACGTCAGTCTCTGGGTCATTTCAACACGTTCCCAAAG